GAAAGAGATAATTCTAAAATACATGTTGTTAATATAAAGCTATATTGATTCCTATTAGTCTTTTAAGTATTTTTGTTTTGGCTAAGCATATGACACAGATACATTATTATTGAAAGGTAAGTATTTTTCTGTACAATAATATGCTGAATATATATTTTATTATTTTGATTTTATATATTGAGGGCCAATATCAGATGTGTTGATGAAAGAAAGAATGAAAACTAAGCTGATCTTTATGCACACTATTACTCTCAACATCACCTTATTATGTAAGGTATTTATTTACCTTCTTTGCCACTTCAGCTAATAGCAGAGTCTTCCCTGTGCATGGTCCTCCATATATGATGAGAGGGTTAACGTGTCCTATTTTGCTAGGTAAAACATACTTGTGAACTATGTTTAATGCCTCACATCTATACTCATAAAAAGTGGAGTACGTTTTACATAGCGATGAGTGTTGAAGAACTTCATCGTACAGTATGTCTGTCTCTGTGTCGAAGTTCTGCTGCACTGTTGCTTGGATTATATCAATCATGTCTTCATAGAACTGTTTACCAAGTCCTTCAATGTAATGGTTCTCCACTTCTTGGGAGTAGCCCAGTTTCATGTCACAGTGAGTGACGGATGTGTACACTCTCAGATTGGACGAGGCGACAATGGTAGGAATGAATTCATCCCTGAGCTTGATCAGTTTCTCATGGGCCTCGGGATCTCGTTGAAGCTTCCCAGCTGCATGTACCACATCCATGTATTTTCCCATCTCTGGAATTTTAACAAAACGCTCAATGTTGGCAATTTTCCGAATGTAGCAAACACACTTCTTTAGGAAAGCTGGTGTTTGTTTACCCAAGGCAAAATCAAGTTCATCTTCAATAGCTGGGGATGAAAAGAGAACACAGAGTCTCTGTTAACATTTTTTTATAAACAGTTCAGCAACGTGCCCTACCCCCAACAGGCAGACTATTCTATCTGTTCTCTGTAAAAAACAGAAAAAAAGCACAAAAAAATTCACTGGGGGCTTTCATATGGGTTTTAGTCTCAAGCAAGCACAATGAACCTTTTATTTTTCTTTAATTATATGAGAAGTGCCAACAGAAATATATTTTCATGTTTGTGGAAAGGCTGACAGAAAAGACAATAAATGAATACATAGAAATTGTTAGTCTGAACTTTACCGGAGGAAAGATATCTCTTTGCTTGGCTGTGTTTCATTTTTCCTTTCTCATACAGCAATTTCACAGCAGTCTTAAAAATCTTCTTAATCTCTTCTGATATATCTTGCCATTTGTTCTCATTCATAGAGTTTGAAGAAGATTCCATCTTTGAAAAATATCCATAAACAGTAGGTGTAATACACACATCTACAACTTCAGAAAGTAAAAGTCTGGTATTCAAGGTCAAAAATCACATGGTAACAGAGAAACACATATACTTACAAAAAAAAAGTGAAACTTTTTATACTGTAGATGATCATAATCTATTCCATTTTTGAAATTTAAAAGTTAGCTACTTAAGAGTATTGTCTCAATTCCTAATGTAGGCAGCTCATGCCATATTTTTCAAGAATAAGGCCAATAACACCTTTATAGAAAGAGGGTTTCAAGAACCAAGAATGACAATAAAGCAGCAGTAAATCTGCAAAAATTCTCTCTCCTTTAACGAAAAGTAATAATAATTTAAACTTAGATCTCAAAACTGAAATGAGATTCCTGTTACCTGTAATTAAGCACCTTATCTTAGCTACCATATTTTAAATACATAGGATTATATGTGACATTCCTTCCATTCATTCATTGCTATAGTAACAGTAATCTTACTGTCATCAGAGAGGAAGTCTAATCTAAACTCACTAATCCTTTCAGATGGCATCTTGCAGATGCCACAATGGAGGTTTCTCCAAGGAAGCTGAGCTTTACTTACTGCAGGTGAAATGTTTAAGGGGTGTCCAGTTTTCCTGGAGGGTGTAACAGGAAACAGAGCAGCCTCCAGGTTAAGCTCCCTAGCAACTCTTTCTTGACATGTTCAGAGCTGTGTATCTTTTATTATTTTCTGTAAGTTTACGAGATGCAACTCTATGTTAGCTTTCAGTTATGAACATCTTTTTACTTCACTGAGTGCTCTATACCAGTAGCTTGAGGAAAAGTATGAAGATTTAATAACAAAACCCATAATAATACAGTGTGCACTCAAAATGAAGTGAAAACTCTGGTAAGGATTTCATTTTTTTGTACACTGAAATTTGTCCTTGGGTATACTGGATGTGTAGGAGGGTAGAACTGAGCACTGAGTAACATACACTTTTTATGGTCATCAAGTAAAGGCAAATGCCTGTTTAAAAAATTATAATTAATATTCAAAAATTCAGTTAATAAATTAAAAGTATATCTGACTCAGGACAGTGCTAAGCTAAGTTGGACTGTTAGAGAGCTTTCTTCTATGGGCATAGAAGGGAAAATGTGTTTTTCCTCTGCAAGTCTTGTTCCCTGGAATCTAGAAAAAGCACGATACCAGGGCAGAAGAGCCTGAGCTCTCCCTGTTATGACATCAGGGAAGGGAACAGAAACCTGTACAAATGTCCCACTAGCCCCAAGAGGTCATGGATTACCACAGCCCACTTGCTCTAGCTGTTAGCAGAGAGCACATCAACGCACGAGTCACCATCTGTCCTGTTCCTTGGTGTTGGCAGCTGCTCCCTTCACCATGCATGGGAAAGGAACATCACAGCAGCACTTGCACAAGTGAGGACATGGCTGTAGAGGCCAATTCAGAGACAGCAGCAAAGTGCCTGGCCTCAGGGCCTGTCTGCCACTGCAACAGACAGAGACAAATTCTGGGAGCAGGTGGCTATGACTTACCGTATTCTGGTGGTTTTTCAGCATTTCAGATTTTGGTCTGAGGTAATATGCTGGTGGCACTGCGTTCTCATCCCTGCAGTACCATTCTTCTAAAATCTTTGTCTCTAGCTTGGCCTCTACAGCAGCATCCAGGATCATTTCAAATTCTGCTGACTCCACTTCCCCTGGTACTCGGATGTTCCCATACTTTTCTCCCAACAGGCCCTATGTATTTACAGGAAAGTAGGGATTAAATTTTTCTTTCTCATTATGCAAAAAGCCTCCTCAGGACCTGAATTTCATAAAAATAAGTCTGCTAGTAGTTTAATGACTTTGAACTTATTAGGAAGGGAAGCAGATACCGTGTGGGATTAATTACTGTTAAGGGTACTGTACTGAGCAGTATGTTACTATGATGACTTGGTAAAATTTCAAGTAGGTGTATTGTCTTTCATAATATTAACTGATAATAAAAGCATAAAGGCATTCAAAAGAAGTAATTAATAAATACCCAACATACTTCGTGCAGTATTGGCTCATGTATTATTGAGTTCCATTAGTCGCAGGTTGAGATGAATCTCATGCAAAAGCAAATGTAGAAACACTTTTCTCCAGACAGGATAAAGATGCATCTCTGATTTCTGTACCTCTTGACTTTATTCTTAGATTCCACAGTAATGAAACAGAAGATTTTATGTTCTGTTTGATGAAAATTCACATGATATTGTGTACATCTTATATTGGCACTATTAAAGATGTGGCTTATACCAGCAATACCAAGGATCAATGCTGCAGAACCATAAGCTTCTTTGCTGTCTGATATTCCCTTGTTGTCTTTGCCTCAGAGCTGTCCACTGAATGAAGAGCTGAGTAAGGAAAAACAGTTTTGACCAAATACCAAGTAGAAATAGATCAAACCCCATTTTAGTACTTAGATACATATTTTTTGTATAAAGGTAAAGTCAGTTCTTAAACCATGGCACAGGAGATATTCCACTTTCAAAAAAGAGGATTAAAATGTTGGTTGTAATGCTCTAAATACTCTTTTTGAATTAACTTTTTGTAGTTTATGGTCCATAAATATTTTATAAAAATACAATTGTGGTGTCCTACATCTTCACAGACAATAGTGCTGTAAGAAATTACTGCAATATTTTGACAACTTCTTCAAATTTGTGATCATCAGATCAATTCTGCCTTCAAAATATTTTGACAACTTCTTCAAATTTGTCATCATCCGATCAATTCTGCCTTCAGTTATTGGTTCACAGAAGTCAATGAGAATTCTTACTTAAATTAAAATGGGATTTTTTATTTTTATTTCTTTCCGCATTTAAATGCATTCAGTACAGATCTCAAGTTAATGAGTAGGAGTACTTAATGTGGAGAGGAACTAACAGTATCAGCATCTTGATTTGAATCAGAAAGAGCTCTTAGTGAAGTAATGCTAATGCAAACACAGTAGTACCCTAAAAATGTAAATGACCTTGTTTGTAAATAATAATATCTAAATATTCATTATTTTTAAACCACTCATCATAATGAGAAGATGTTTTAGACTACTCTAGCTGTAACTAAACCCTGAAAATCAACAACTGATGACTGTGGCACTTAGTGCCATGGTCTAGTGATGATGATAGTGTTGGACTTGACCTTTGAGGTCTCTTCCAACCAGGTTGATTCCATGATCCTGTGATTCTATGATTCAGCCTGCCTCACTGATTATAAAGGCATGAAGCTGCACACCACTTTTCTGTATCCAGTTGTGTTGGCAGAAGGTTCTCCAGTGGTTCTCACTGTGCTAGATGCTGCAGCCTCAGAGCAGAGACAGAGCAATGCACGAACACATCCTAACCTCCTGCAGGGAAAACCACCTCAGCCAGCTCAGACCACACTTTACATTGTGTAAACTAACCTGGCTGATACTTTGCCTGGAGATTAGGAAGAACTCACATGAACTACAGTGCTGGCTGTGATGGCAAGCAGATGGCATCCTCCAATGGAGTGGACAGGAACAAATCAATGTCTGTCCACTGCTTAGGAGAAGTGAGGGAGTATAGGAATTGTGATAGCTCATCTAGCCCATTTTCCAGTTTCTGACAAGTCCCAGCACCTGAGTCCTTCAGGAAGCTGCTCCCATAGAGAGGCATTAGGGGAAAGTTGACTCTGCCTGGCTGCTCATCCAGATCCCACAGTAGCTTCATTTGGGGTGCACATCAAGGAGTGAGGAGAAAGGAACAAATGTGTTCAGGAACTAGAATTAAATAATAATAATTTTAATGAAATGATCTGGTATTTTTATAAGGTGAATTTATTTTTTCTTTGTGATGATTCTAACTAGTAGCTCTGTTGCCTCACATAATGAGATAAGCAGGGAAAGTTTAGAAGCTTTTACTGTTCTGATCTGTTCATAGAGCCTTATAACTGGAATTCTGAAGCCTCAGAAGTTAAAAAAAATATTATTTTCTGTCTTCATTCAAGTGAGGTTAACAACTCATATCATGCTGAATTAGAAAGCCTTTTTACATTCAGGTTGATGTAGAAATCTCATAAATTTCTCCCAGAGGAGCATTTACTTTGTATAGAAATTATTACTTAGAATTCATTAGGCTACACTTTTTCTGAATTTAACTCCAGTGCATTCAATAGACAGTTGCCTGAGCAAAGATCAATAACTGGGTCCTTCATTAAGAATACTAAAATGTCAACATTAATATGTCTGGTTTTAATGTACAGCATTTAATCAACTAAATTTGCTTTGGAATTATTCTGTGTACTTTTCCGCTTCCCTGGTACAGTTTGTGCTGTTCTCTCTCCACTGTACTATAGGTAAATAACAACCAGCAGTACTTTAAAATGAAAAGACAGATTTTTTTCTTGCCTCTCATCTGTTATTGCAAAAGGCATTATGTAAATAATCTGGTATTGGGGATCATCCTCCTGACGACTTGAGCAAAACACAATAAAAAGGAACTTTGACATGATCCAGCAAATCCTAAATACTGTGCTGAGCAGGTCTATCATCCAGAGCAAGGCAATGCCAGCACTGCACTGCAGCTGTGTCCCTGTTATAGAGCTAACACAAGTTAGCTGAGGTTCTGGGATTAGGACCTGACTCTGTGGAGTCATTTGAAGAATATTGTGGTAGAAGATTTTATGTGGCAGAAAACTCTTCCTGTGCTTTCTGATAACTTCACACTAGCTTCAGTCTACAGCCCAGTTTTACTGTGCCTTTAACTGAGGTATTGAAACACAATTCATTTTTCTGGAGAGGATAAAAGTCACTGACACTGTTTTTCTAAAGGACTGTGGTATCACACCCCAAGGTGGGAGCAGGAGTCGTGCTGAGTAAGTGCAGCTGTTTTCTACTGAGACACTAATGCTCAAATGCTGAGTTATGCCACAGAAATATACCAGATTCTTCACCTAAACACACCTTCTTCTACATGCACTGCATCTTTCCATTAGGAGTGGAACTAGTAAATAAACAAAAAAAATGACTAAGGAGTATAAACAGACCATATGGAATTTTAATAAACTATTTGTAAGGTGACATGACAGCCTTAGGATGGTTGCATTTGCATGCACAGGCTGGGAAAACTGTATCTCCCCATGTTTAGACACAGAGGTGAGGCTTGGAAGTACCTCCTTCCCTCCACCCTTTTGGTATCATTCTGGTTAAATTTTTATCTGTCTGTATAAGTGCACTCTATCAGGGTACCACAAAACCACTCCAACCTTAGAGGCCTAAATGAGAAGCTCTGAATTGCCCTTTTCCTCCAAGGATTTCAGTGCTTGAACTGCATCCATGCCAGAAGCTTGCAGCAGCATCTGGAAATAGTTGCCCCTCTTCATTTCCCTATACATTCAAGTAAATGCAGATTTCTTCCTAGAAAAGTAAAGAAAAATGAAGCAACAGGATTGAGAGAAAATATATTTTCTCACAATCTTCATGTTGTTTCGTACTAGGTGTGCAAATAAGAATTACCATTATTTCAGACCTTTACAAAAATAGTATACTACTTTACAGTAAGAACCTAAAACTTTGATTTGTGATAACAACATTGCGACATTTTGATGATTACTATAGCAAATTATTTTTAAAGGGAACAGTAATGTTTATGCTGTGCTCAGTATCAAGAGACAGTTTCACAGGCAAACTCATGAATCAAATTCTCCCACCTGATGAGTCATTTTCCTTTAATAGTAAACCAACAAATTAAAGATTCATTAGATTGAAGGTAATTAAACTGTATAATGCTACCAGGCTTTGTTTTAAACCCGTAGCAATCATTTGTGTCTAACAAAACTTTATAAAATTAACATGGAGCAACCTCAGCAGTAGCATTGTTAACTTTCATAGAATCACAGAATCATAGAATGTCTTGGGTTGGAAGGAACCTTAATGATTATCTAATTCCAAGCCCTCTGCTGTAGGCAGGGACACCTTCCACTACAACAGAGCTCAGAGCTCCATCCAATGTAGCCTTGAACACTTCCAGGGATGTTTTGTTGAGTCTGAGGCTACAGTTAAATTAAGGTTTTCAAATTAAGGTAATTAAATGAAGGTTAAACAACTACTGTTTTGATCAAGATGGGAAATAGTTTACCTTTTAATATTCTTGGTGTGGAAAGATATTAAAATTATAGGCACAGTCAAAATAATGACCAAAACGAGGAAACAAAGATTTGGATCTTGTAACTTCCTGATGCTTTTGCCATTGCCTCAGATTGTCTGTCTATAAAGTGAGGCTAATGAGAGCTTGCAAAATAAGCATTTTATTTTGAGCATTTCTATTTTGAAATGAAAGGATCTTGTGTATTTATGTATCAGCAGAGATGGAACTGTTACTTTACACTGTTTGTCCTGTTTAATTTTTAGGGGAAAAGTGATACCACAGGGCAGTATCAAACATTTTCATTTGCTTTTCCTCCATACCTGGGTAATCATAACAGTGTCCATACCTCATTCCTTTGGTTGAAGCCTCTGAGTAAATAGATTTAGTTTTAGAACTGCAGCTGACTGTACAAAACATAAGAAATACATTTTTAATTGAGATTACTGAAGTGAATAGGAAACTGAAGGCATAATAAAGACATTTCTGTACTGAGAAATAGATTGGTTTTCCACCTGCCCAGATATATATTTATGTTCCTTGTCTTGAGAAATAATGGTGTGTGTTGTTTCACAGAGCCATGACCTAATTTCTCTCTTCCTTTTTTTT